TGTGTGTGTGTGTTTTTTCTACTCTACCACACGGTCTAAACAATTTCGTTATCCTTCATGTACTCTTTATTGAGTAAACTAGACCACCTTGCAATACACTCTTATTTAAGCCCGGCTTTAGTTGGGATCTGGAAGAATATGGCATTCCGGCCTACACATTACTTCTTACATTCATGCTCTTCCAATACTTCGCGACGCCTTATTTCGCAGGCGAGAGGCAAAGTTAGTGAAAGAAAACACCGATTTAAACCCTTAACACAAAACTTGATACGTACAATTAAGTTAGACATATTTTTTTTCTTAACCAGTCATCGGCCTTGACTCCAGCGAGCGTTTAGATGATATCGCTCACTAATCAAATGACTACAGTAACAAACCTTTAATAGTCTACAAGTAGATGATGTGTAGACCATTGCTAAAATATTCTCTCAAGATACCGAAAGAGCCGCTTGACGGGTGATACGACTTCCGCGCTGCGTTCCTGTGAGCAACAGCTTAAGCATTCTCATGCAGACAAATATTGCTGGTTTTCAGTGTCACGCCATTCAAAATAAATCAAAAGAGAAATCAAAACCGTTCAACAGATAAATTCCGGAGTCTGGGAAATGAAAGGAGGTAAATATACAAAGGGCCTCGCCAAGATTCACGTCAGAAGAATATTCCGTATACGAGATATCCGAAGAAATGTTTTACCCAAATTTATAAAGATTTGTATGGAGACGCCATGCTGGTGCCCACCTGGATGAGCACCAACATGGCGGACGGAAACCAACAAAAACATCGTTTCCGAGTTTTGGTATAAAAGCGTGAATGTATCCCTAGAGGAACTCATAAACATTAAAGTAATACTTTTTCTAATACATGAACTGTTAAGATAGCAAAATTCCCCGAAATACGTCACTTTTTTAAACTACGTGACAGCTCTCTCGGCCGTCAAGTGAATACCACGTCACGCAAAAGCTTAGAAATTCAAGAGTACTCTATCACAAAACCAAGAACTTTTTTGAAGCGAAAATTTGTATGAAAATTAGTTTTCAGCTCCTGGATCGATAGTTTTGTAGTTTGAATTTTTAGTGACGTCATGTGAAAACCAACAATTGATTTGAGAAACAACTTATGCACGCATGTTGAATGCATGCCTAACTTTTATACTTTCATTTTACTTACACATCACTTTCTGTTGTATAAACTTGATTTATTAGTGACTCAACTGCCATCCATTTTACAGGCATCAGACCCTGTCAATAAAGCGCAGAACCTTGAATTCAGGAATCGTTTGGGGGCAGTGCGAAATATAGAATTGACAGCTGTGAATCACAGCGCAGTTAAGGTACGGCTGACGATGTGCGCTTGGCTGTCAAACAGGCAATCTTAAATTAATCGTAGCCGGCAGGAAATTTATTTTCGATTTGGTATAAAGGACAGCGGTCTTTGTTCTATATACGTACTTACATTGGATCTTCTAACGTAGATTTCCTCTCGGCCCAGGTCCCTTGCCATGCCAAAATCGGTAATCTTACAACGCAGCCCTTCACCAACTAAGATGTTTCGAGCTGCCAGATCTCTGTGGATAAGCTATGACCAGAAATAATAATGTATTTAATCATTACATAAAAAAGTTTGCTTACAAATTTTCTTATGACGCAGGCATTGTGCTTTTCCTTATGTTTGCGTCATCTAAGCTTAAAATTGCGGGCAAAAGGTCGGAATCACGAGCCATAACAAACTGTGTAACGAAACATATTTTCATTCTCTTATGCCTGGGCTTTTGTTTGTAT